GGTGAGATGCATGCAGGCAGACATGGTGCTGGGGCAGGAGCTGAGTGATCTACATCTTGATCCACTGGCATCAGAAGGAGAACTGTGTACCACACTGGGCATAGCTTGAGCATCTGAGATCTCACAGCCTGCTTCCACAATGACACTTTCCCTTCAAGGTGGCCACTTCTCCTAATAGTGCCACTCTCTATGGGCCAAGCATTCAACCACATGAAGCATTCAAACTATGGGGGCCATACCTCTTCAAACCACCACCTATAGCAAGACCAAAAAAAGGAGAACACTCCTCAGACAGAAAGGTACTATGCCCTCCTGGGAGAGAAAAGGGAGATTAAAAACTGCCTTAATTTGAGCTGTTACAACAGAGCATCATAGGCTAGGTAGCTCAAAAAGCAAATACTTCTTATCACACATCTGAAGACTAAGGAGTCCCAGAGCAAGGTCCATGAGATTTACTGTCCTTTGAAGGCACTCCTCTGGGTACATACCCAGCCATTTTCTGACTGGGTCTTCATATGACCAAAAGAGCACTAGATATGGGGTCTTTTTACAAGGACATTAATTCCATTTATGAGGGGATCATGACATTAATGATCCAATTACTTTCCAGAAGCCCCTACAGGTAACTCAGTGACATTAAGGTTGGGAATTCAATACATAAGCCTGGAAGAGACGCAATCATCCAGCCCATAACAAACACAAACAATGGATTGTAGTTCAGTTAGAAAGCTGTCCAAGGCCAACAGCATTGGTCAACATTGGAGGCATGAAATCACTTTGGAATCACGGAAGTGTCCAGGATCCTCTTTCCCTCTCTTCCATTTGTACTGTTTATCTGGGGGGTTGGGGGTATTGCTTTATTGGGACAGGGTCTCACCAAGTAGCCCAGCCTGGCCTCCAATTTACAGCTCCCTTCCACCTCCAGGAAAGAGGGATCTACAGGTGTGTGCCTCCACATTCCGCTTCCTCTCTTACTTTTGTAGAAACATCAAAAAAGATGCACTTGGGTATCTCTGTCTTTGAGAAGGGTCTGTAACTCAGCAGAAAATCCAGCAAAAACAATCAGAATGACGGGAGCCAGGTGGAAAGGCAGCCATGAGTGGGTTGCCTGCAGCTACCTGGAGGCTCCTGGCTTTTCATATGCGTCCACTGGAGCCAGGCACGTGACGAATGCCTGCCGTCCTAGCCACCAAAGAAGCTGGAGGCACTGAGAAAGACAGAACTTATGCCACACACTGAGGTCAGGACCACAGCCAGGACACAAAGACCCTTTACCATTTTACTCAGCAGCAACCCCAAAGAATGTTTCAAAGCAAACTTTAGTTTCCGTTGCATCTTTGATTTCATGAAGTCATTTTTATACCTGACATTGCCTCCACTATTTATAATAGACAAAAGGGTCTGGAGCCTCAACTATGTCACTTGGCAGCCATGTGACATCAGGCCAGTCACTTCTGGCTAGGCTTCTGTTTTGCCATCTGTACCATGAGGACAATGATAGTATTTGTTGGGACGGCTACATGGATGAGTAAAGCCCGTGCTGGGCCGAGTCCCACACCACACCCATAAGTGAGGACACAGTCAGTACCTGCTAATGCTGTTGTTATGGTTACTGTTAATATTTCACTTGCGCTGCATAACAACCTGTAAGTTAGGTGCAATTTATTATCCCCGTTTCTCAAGTTGAGAAACTGAAATGTGTGGAAGATAAAAACTAGCCTAAGGAACAAGTCAGAAAATGGAAATGCCTGACTCAAAGTCTTCCGACTTCAAGCCTCATTCTCTGCTCCCAGCGCTCACCCTACCTCTTCTGTGTTGCCCAGGAACCGCAATTCTATGAGCCTGATCATTGTTCACATAGGACTGCAGGCAATTTTGAATATATTGGAGGTCTGTCTAAGCTCAAGGAGTATTAAGGAAGTCTTAAAAGAGCAAATAGGTTCCTATCTGGGGATAGGTGAGTGGCACCTCACCACCAAGCAACCTCCATAAGTTAAAAGAGATGGCATTTCCCTGGCACAGAGCCTCGGGGAAAGCAGGGGTGACGTCTTTGGGCTTCAAAGCTAAGGACCTAAGAGGGCTATCTGCTAAGAGGGAAACAGAGGCAGGTGTGTAAACACTGTCCGATAATCCAGCGTCACTGTAAATCCTTCTGCCTTCCGCTCTGCAGGGCGTGTCCGTGTGTGCCTCCATTCCCTAGCTTATTCCTCTGCTGTTCTGCAGTTCTGCATTTTGACTGCTCAGGTTTTTACGTATCCATCCTGCCTTGGTAAAGAGTAGGCTTGAGTCCTGGGGCGAAGACAAGGACTGCTCAATAGTAAAGTCAGCTCTTCATCTGAAGCGTGAGATCTTAACCTGTTTCTTCAAGCTCTAGTTTCTTCGGTCCCCTTAAAAAGATCACGAGTGTCTGGAATTCGAGATGGCTGGTTTTGAAGTCAACTTTCCCAGACTACTAATCACATGCTTGCTTCCCTCACATTCCCTTATGCAGGGGCCTCACAATATTTTCTCCTTTTTAAGCAATTTAAAGAAAAGTTTCTTTGTCTCCTGTAGCAGTGGGATATTTAAAGAAACAAACTTGATAATGCTACTTGCAGAGTTCCATCTCATTCCAGATTAATCAGCAGATTGTTGCTGAATACCCACTAAATGCCAGGCTTTGTGCCCTGGCCACTGGTAAACAATGGGCAAGAGAGACTCCCCACGCAGTTTACAATGATGGATCATTGGGAGCTGCACATTCACAGCTTCTGCTAACAGCCAAAAACACAGAGCCCCCAAGCACTTTAAACCTCCCCCTTGCCCTCAGGACATAACTTGTCCCACAATGGCATTTAGTATTCTGAATGTAATCACGCACTATAAAATGTAGTTCTCTAATTAGATGGTGTTCTGATTGTGCCCACGAGGTGGCGATCTTGCTTACAGTTTGCCCACACTGAACCCAATGCAGGGAGGGAAACAAAACAAAAAAACCACCACCCAAAAGTTAAACCAAAAAACAAAAATGAAATTAAACGGATTCAGTACTTATTTCATGTAATATACTATAATAGCTGGTAAATGATATAAAAATTTGATAAGAGTCCCTCCTCTCTAGGGAAAGGCGGGGGAGCTTGCACAAGGCAAGAAGAAAAATACTTCTTAATGAATTAATACATTGTGCTGGATCTATAAGGGAGGCATTGTAATTCTTTTATCAGATAAGAGCTATAAAAAGCCCTGTGGTCGGGAACACATTCAACAAAGACCCTACACTTCGGCCAGCACACACCGATGGGAAAGAAACGCACGAAGGTGTAGGTCTCCGGTCAGTGCTGGGTCAGTGCTGTTTTGGGAGGTTGATGTCTCTGTCACAAACATTACATTGTCTGCCCTATAACTCTAGAATAAATATACACAGTACAGCAGATGTAGCCCAGCCGAAACCTCTCCAGTGCACTGAGTAATGTGAAAGGAGAGGGAAGAACCACTACGGGAAACGAACCGAGTTTAAACGCTGGCTGCAGGGCTGGGGATGAACAAGCTCAGTGGCCGAGAACTTGACTAGCATGCCCAGGTCCCAGGGTGGTTCCCCAGCACCACCAACTCTGGCTCTCAGGAGGACCGCACCCGCACAGCCCCAATCTTAGGGCTGTGACTCTCCAATTTGAGATCTGGGGTATAAGAAGGAAAGAGAAAGAGCCAGTTTGTTTCCAAAGGATTTTCTGGTAGATGGAGCCCAAGAAGATCTGGACAGAGATGCGCTGGCTTTTGTGGTGGGTTTTTGTTTTGTAGTTTTCCTCCTCCACTGCCCCCGTTCCCACTCTTCCTTTCTCCTTTACACTAAACTAGTAAGTAACTAATGTTATTCAGTTTTCTTTGTTTGGGTGAAATTTACAATTGGGAATCAAGTGAGCGACTAAACATTGACAATTTAAAAATAAATTTTAGCATGTTGGCAAAGAATGCTTGTTTCCGTCTGTATATCGTTATTTCTATATAGTGAACTTTCTTGTAAATAGAAAACCAAGTGGCCTGTGACCAGGAGACCTGACTTGGATGTTCAACTTGCACGGCAAGGTTTAATTCCCAGCATTCCTGGAAAAAGTCATGAGGCCAATCTCATTGCTCTTAAGCCTGCAGTGACCCATCCTGGGGAGCTTGCTCTGGAGATGGGTCGTAGGTTCAAAGTCATTGGCTACAGATGGTTCCTCTCCCGGCTGGAGTCATATCCTCTAGGGCTCGAGACATTCCCGGGAATTTACATAAGGCAGCATGAATCACAGCAAGTGAGGTTGCAAAAAAGACCCGACCTGATCCTTGCCCTGCAGCGCCTGGACTGCGGTGGGGGTCTGTCTGAAGTTTCCCGAAGAGCCCGCACAGTCCAAGCAAGGGGACTAGGCGATCACCCAACTCCCACGAGAGCCCTGGACGCGCAGCTACCTCCAGGCCCTAGATTTGGTTTCTGCCCCTCCCGCTGCGACGCCCCCGCACGGACGCGGCCAGTCCAGCTTCCACCCGGCTCCAAAGTCCTGAACCTATCGTGGGGCCACCTCTCGCTCCTGGAAGGATCGGTTGCCGCTTTAAGGGGAAGAGGAGGGGAAGGGGCGGGGGAGTGGGGGGCGGGGAGAGGCGGCAGAGGAGGGGGAGGGGGATCCCCCTCGCTCCCACGTGGTCTGGGCGCCTGTGAATCGCGCCCGCCGGAGGGTCTCACAGCGAAATACAAAAGCAGCTGGGAAGCCACGGCGAGCCGAGTTCCCAGCGCCCGAGTAGAGCGCTGGCCAGAGCCCCGCAGAGCTCCGCGGCCGCGATGGGGCTCCATCACCCGAAGTCCCGGAGCCAGCCAGCAGCCGGGCCCGCCTCACCGCCCGCGCCCGGGCGCCC